AACATACGACTATTATTTATTTATAATACCGTTTCAAACGGGATAGAGTAGGCTAGTCAATATATATAAAAAGTTTGAATCTGAATATTTTTTCAATATATATAAAAAGTTTGAATCTGAATATTTTTTTATTTTTTAACCCTTCTTTTTAAGAAATTTGTAAAATTCTTATTATTTTTTAAATACAATTAGCACAAGTGTAGGGTTTATTTTTTAAGCACAGAACGGAATATGTACATTTTCCTTAACTTTTATTTAGTTATATTAATCTTATACAAAGTGCCTATAGCAAATTTTAATTTATAATTAAAAATAATTAAATAAGTTTTTACACAAACGTACGTCATGTGTATTAAAAAGAAAGAATACACATTATATTTGTGATCCCGTTTTAAACGGGATAGCGTTAGCTAGTCATCAATATATATAAAAAGTTTGAATTTGAATATTTTTTATTTTTTAACCCTTATTTTTTAAAACTGTAGCATTCTTTTTCTTTTTTATGAAGACCGAGAAGCATCATTTGGGGGGTTAATTTCACTAAAAACAGAACGGTGTTTTTGTGCATTCTCCCTTGCTTTTATTTAGGTAAGATAATCTTAGTCGAGTTGTCTATAGCAGATTCTAAGTTTTTATAAAAAAGGTAATTTGTAATAAAAAATAACAAGTACTTACACAAAGGCACATCGTATTTATTTTAAAGAAAAAACACATTATTTTGATCCCGTTAAAAACGGGATAGCGTAAGCTAGTATATTGGTTATAAAAAGACAACAAATATAGACCTTTCCAAGCATATTTATTTTTTTATCCCCTTTACTTTTAGCAAAATGTGCTACATAACATGTTTATTAGTGCAAAATACTTGCAAACATAAATAAAATGCTTAAATATTAGTAGACGTAAAATTTTATTGTTTAGCTTAATATTTATTGCAGTTTTGGTACATCTTATTCCTATTTCTCTTATTAGTAAACCAATTATTAACTTGTTTAATAGTTAAATTGCAGGATTTCGCTAAGCGGGCCTTTTCAAAATCTGTCGGATAATTATTTTGACTAAAACTTTGTTCTAAAAATTCAACAATATTTCGAGAAAATCTTCTTGAACTTGAATAACGTGAAGAATGTATATCACTATATGGTAAAAGATGAATACCATTTTCAAATATATTATTTATACTGTTTACTGCTATCTCTCGCATTGCTTTTAATTTTTCTTGTATTTGTAATCTGGTTCCAATAGATACAGCAGGCGTAATAGTCGAGTTTTTAGAAGTAAAAATTGTAGTAAGGTTATCAAATTGATCATTAATTTTATTATTTGCTTCAATATACAATAATCTTATTTTATTCATTTTAGAAACAACATTTTGAGAGCTCATCATTTTAGGGAAAAGTGAAAACGGTTAAAAATGTAAAAATTGATTGAGTTTTTTGACATTTTAAAGCCGAATTAAATTTTATTTATTAACAATTGCAAAAATTTGTCATATTCTAATTTGAAGAAATAAAATGAAAAACCAAAAGTTTTTTAACAAAGCTTGATTGTTTTATTTGTAATAGAAACTTTTAAACTCAAAAAATCTAACTATACATATATGCAAAATATAAACGTTAATTTTTTCATGTAAATGTATCGTTGATTCTAGTTTAATTAAGTAAATAGTTAGATTTGAATTTTATTTTAATATTGGTTTTTATATTTCTTAGGTATAAATATTTGTATGTTTGATTAGAGTAAAATTTTACATTTTTTATTGAATTGGTTTTACATAAATTTATAGTTTGTAAAAAACCATAATTTAGAATTACTACAAAAAAGATAGTTAAATATTACGAAAACCGTCGTTGGTACATTTCGATAATATCAGTAAATTTTTAGTTATTTAATTTAAATTTATATACATAGTGGAAGGAGTATCTATAGCGATGGTAGTAGTATTGGTAGGGTTAAAGTTTATCTTATTTATCATCATCCTCTTTTGATTAAAATTCTTTTTATATTTTTTAATGAAACATCTGTTTTAGAAATTGGTATGTTAATCGTATTACATGTTCAAAACGTTAGAAAATAATTTGAACCGATCAATTAGCTCGCTACCTGTGATACGGGATATCAAAATATAAAATAGCGAGTATCTAATATGTGACTTTTTTTCTACTTTATTTTACTTATTATGAATTGAGATAAATATATTTGAAGATTAGGCTAAAACAAAAAGCTGAACATAGCAGGCATATAATATAAAACAGGTTACAACTCATTATTGTGGTATCCCTTATGTTTTATGCTAATAACACACTACAGCTATTGGTTCAAATTTAAACAGTGTTTCAAACCAAAAAAAAGAAGCTAATTTTTGAAATAATAAAATTTAAAATCAAAAAATATGTAATTTTAAAAGACATAACCATGAATCTTCTTAAAAATCTGCCTACATTTTTTTGATTTAGTCCATCATTCCCTCGCTAGGGGACTGGGCGGACCTGTTATATCATGATATTAATTTTTTTTATTTTTTAATCTTTTGATTGATGAAAGAAACAATTTTAGATTAGAAATAAAGTAGATAAAAGCCAAATTACAACTTAATTGTTTCCATAATATTTAATCAAAGATGAACAGACTTGTAAATTTCGGCAAAAAAATATGCGCCCCATGCATATTTTAAAAATTTGATAAGTTCGAATAAAGATAAAGATGCTGCTTTTATAAATGTCAGCACTATCGGACAACAACTTCTCTGCGGTTTATTTTTTGGCCCTACTCTATAAAATTGATATAAAAACAATTTTTAACTATGCGCATAATGAAAATTATTCTAAAATCATTGAATATTTTGGTATTGTGAAAGCTCCTTAATTAAGCAGCGAAGAATCATCGAACGTTTATTTTTTCACTAATGTTTCTATCAAACTGAGTGGTGCTACTATTATTAGGCAGATAGATAAAATTAAGTTGAATTAATTTTATGAGAGCCATATAAGTAAATTTTTACAGGCCTTTTGATGTTTTGCATCATAGATGCGTCATTTGGCGCTACTCCACCCCTTCTTCGAATAACTACTTTTAGATTTTAAAAAGTGAACGTAATTATTTGTGGTGAAGGGGGTAGAAAGATAAAGTAAAGGTAAAAAAAATTATTTTAACCCTTATTATGCAGAATCATAAAGAGAATAATTTGAGCTTTTAATTTAGTGAAGCATTTTATCTAGAAAATATTAAGACAATAAATTTTTTTGAAATACAATTTAATAAAGAATGAAATTGGTTGTGTAAAATTTAATTGTAGGATGAATATCACGGGTGCTGCCATGTATATAGACGGATATGCTTACAGATGCTCTTCTAAGGCATAAAAATTTAAGACAAGCCTAAAAAGGGGTCTAAAGTGGCTTCTGAATATAGAATTTGTAAAAATTCTTAGGAATGTATTGCTGGGTATATAATTATACTTCATTCCAGACAATTGATTTTTGCGATTGTTAAGAGACTACCTATATTAAAATTAAAGATTTGATTTTGCAAGTAATTTTTGAACAAGAACCAGAAATGGTTAAAATGGGTGGAGAAGGTATTAGGGTGCAGTTTACGAAACTGCGTTCTGTAATAGTGAGTTAATATCTAACCCATCTAGTACCCTAGACAACAAACCTAACGTACAATGGTTTGTGGGAGGTGTAGAAGAGGGAAATTGTAGGAACCTTGTTCTAAAGCTTGTTTCTAACAGGAAAAGTTCTGACTATATTAGAAATGTTTGATGAACATGTTGTACCCGAATCTATCATTGTTACTGATAGAAGGACTTTTTACCCTATGGCTGTTTCTAATTTTGATCTTGCCATAAAGTGATAAATCACTTGGTTAGGTTTTTAATGGTAAAGAAGCACATACGAACCAAATTAAAAACCCGTGGTCTCATCTTAAGCATGCTAATCGAAACGTTGTGGTATTTATAAAGGAAAAATTAACTTTTTTTAAATACATAAAAGTGGAGAAAAAAATAATTATTACAGCAATAATAAGACGCTTAGGATGGCTTTATACAAACAAATGATAATAGTTAGAATGAATTTTTTTAATTTATAATCTTTTAAATAAATATTCGATTTTTTTTAAGAATAAAGAAGCGTGGAAAGATGGAGGGAGTAGTACCCGTCATTAAAACCGCATTAGAATATGCTACAGCATATTTAAAAAAAAAGAAAAATTTTTCGGAGCTTATGTAAGCCA